GCATATGTACTTTTGTTGATTATTAAATAATGTCAAAATATACGCTTACACACAGAAAATATATTTTAATAATTTATTTTATATATATGTATATAATACATAATATTATACGAGGGGATACCGGGCGTGTACTACGCTAAATTTGCGAGGAAACTATCACCGTCCATTGATATCCCATATATATATATATATATGGGAAAATACAAAACATTAACTGTCTTAGTGATCTAAAACTCCTCATTATTGCCTTTTAAATGAAACACAGAGGCACATTGGTTGGACATTTCTAAATTATAATTTAAATTTTCTATACATAAATATATAGAAATGTATAGAAATATCTTATGTAGTCCCAATAGTGTGGCACTGATATTTTTAAGACCCTGTACATATATATACTACATATAGTGCACAATTAATTTTGCCATTGTAATATAATTATAATAATTATATTATTATGAAGGTGAAAGTTATATATTGTGAAAGCAAACTTTCGCAGTTGGATTTTAGAATATATAACTTTCGGCTTTGTGTTATTAGTACTCTAAGTTGCTGTTGTCTCCATTCATTAATACCTTTTAATTTTATTATAAATAGATTTAGTAACAGTTTATTATTTAAGATAAATAATATAATATAGATAATAATTGTGATTATTATTATTATTAATTCTGTTATTAATTATGTAGTTAATTCTGTTATTACTTACAGCGCGTTATATAGAAATTGCTGGGAGAGGTTTGAAGTTGCTAATGTATCAAGATTACACATATTCAAGAAATAGGACCTTAGGCAAAGGTGGTCTACGGTATAGGTGCTCTGCTAGTGTTAGCAGGAACTGCAAGGCATATCTTCATGTATCAAATGATAATTTTGTCATCAAAGCGTTCACTGAACATAACCATGCACCACCCAAGTACACTCGAACTTCAAGCGGTGTTTACGTTAAAATAAAATAATTTAATATATGTCAAATTGCATTTGTGCTCCATTTAATATCAAGCAAATGAAAGACAGAATTGGAGTCGTGTCGTATCAAGGATTAAAGAGCATGATGGAAGATCGTAGAAAGTGGCATGAGCTCCTCCGACAAGAGCGTTGCTCTTAAATTATAAATGAATGTTAAATTTAGATACTCTTTTATTACAATAAGGATATGTGCATACAGATAAAAAAAATGTATCAGGTCACTGTGCGTGGAAGATATATGAAATAGAACTAAGATTTGCAGTTTTCGTGAATGTATTGTTAGCTTACTAGCATTTTTTTATAATTCCAAATACCATATCAATAGGTATGAAATCTAGTCTAGAATATATATTAAGGAGTTGTGTTGTTGTTTTTACAATTGTATAGGTATACGATAAAATCCGAACCTTAATCTTATGCTATCTAGTCATGAATTTCCTTTATTACCGTAATACTCGTATAATAATTAAGTCAATGTCCTGTTACAGGGAATGTAGATAGTTTGGTGGTACCTTATCTAATAAACATAATAAATTATTAATTTATTGAATTGTCTGTTCATTTAGCAGCACATTTTTGTTTATTATATTCCCAATTATTAAATCTTACTTTGTTCTAAGTAATACCAGATGTAGACTTAAAAAATCTCTTTCAATCGTCAAGTGGCTTGCTTTGCAATCTGTGTTTCTGTAGGGGGCAGATTAGGCTGTGAAATAAGAATTATTGAATAGCATTATGGCATAGCATCTTCGTCCTCTGAATTGGCAACACATGAGTGGTCTCGTGATACCACTCATGTGTTCCCAGTTCAGAGGTTGCCAATTCATTCAGCACTACGGACATCATGTAACGTAATGTCCGTAGTGCTGTTCATGTATAAAGGCGACGGGTATCCTGTACCATCACTTGTTAGTTCGCATACCGTCAGTTTCAATAAACAGGTTCACAAGTTCGTCCCCATATGAAGTACTGCTCTCATCTACGGGCAGGAGCACCTGGATACCAGCTCGGTTCAGAGACGTGCTATGAAAATTGTCTTTGATCCCAATATCACAAACAGTATAGAAGCAATTAGCTTGAGGCGAGGCTTCGCATCGCTTTGTGTATTCTACCGAATATACAAAGGACTGTGTTCTGAAGAATTGTTTAGATTATGCTTACGGCTACCTTTTACTATCATACCGCTTGCCATCGATAGGGAAATCATCGCCACACGCTTGAACCTAAATGGTCTCGGACAGTGCGGTTTCAAAGGAACTTCCTCCCGCTTACACTTAGATTGTGGAATAAACTACCTGCCGGGGTTTTCTCGAGAGCGTTGAGGTTTCTTAATCGTCTTAATGCAACGCACACGTGACACCCCTGGTGTTTCAAGCGTCCATAGGCTACGATAACCGTTTACCATCAGATGGACCACATGCTTTTTTTCATATGCTAATTATTGTTTATTTAATGCTTTCAGCGAAATACATACAAATTGCCGGAAGAGGTTCAAAATTACTCATGTATAAAAATTATACCTATTCTAGAAGTGGTTCGTTACGTGAAGGCGGTTCTCGGTACACATGTTCCAGTACTTTTAGCAAACAATGCAAAGCCCATTTGCATGTCTCAAAAGATGATGCAATCATTAAAGCATTCACCGAACATAATCATCAACCTAGTAAATATGCGAAGACTCAAATGGGTTACATCAAAATATCGGAATGTTAAAATAGTTTGAAAAAAGTAAGTTAAATTATATACCATATATGATTTTTAAAAATAAATTTTGGAAACTTCTACTCCTTACACAGAAAACTGTGCTGTGATATATCTACACTGTCTATTTCTAATGCAGGATGCATTAGAAGTGTAGTCATATCACAATCAATACAAGGTGTCAAATTCTATTTGATAATGTCACCAGATCGAAATTTGTTATTTTATATACAGTATTTTTATATCTAGTTTACAAATGGTAATATGTTGCAACTATATATTATATTTTACTCACTATTATACGCCTAGATTAATGTATGTATAATGTTATTATACGGATATAAGTAGATTTATGTTTATATGTATAAAGGTATCCGCAGAATACCAGCGTCAAGGCAACTCGTCACGGCATATGCTAACCAATTTGGTACCACAATTAATCATCTAAATCGTATTTATTAAATTATTTGTATTGTATATTTTATGTGTATCAAATAAACAATATTATTCTTTTTCTTTCTTTCAATTATATCGAACTATGATGCGTAGTTACTTGAATTAAATCATTCATATTCTTGAATTGCGATAATGAATTTTAAAATGGCATACGACAGAGAAATTCCTGAAACAGATACTTATAATAGCGTGATCTTTGGTGTTATATTTATTCGAAAATCTGGTGGGTGTGAGGGTGGGTGGAAGAAAAATTAACTCAACCCAATTAAATGTCATCACAATATGATTAATGAATTTTGTTGGTTACAAAATTGGAGATGCCCGTGAAAACATTGTATGTTATGAGGTAAAGCCGAATTATCTTGATCTTTGTTTAAACCTGCTATTGATTATTGTTATTTAATTCCAGCTCAATACATACAGCTAGCGGGTAAAGGATCAAAATTGCTTGTGTACAAACAATACACGTATTCAAAAAGAGGTCCCTTAGGCAAAGGTGGTTCGAGATACACATGTTCATCGAACGCAAGCAAAGGATGCAGCGCCGTTGTGCACGTTTCAAAAGACGATATAATCATCAAAGAGTTTAGTTACCACAATCATGAACCATCCAATTATGCTAGAACAAAAATGGGTTATATTAAAATATAAATTTGACTTATTTATAGATACTACGATACCTTTTTGAATTTTAAATAATTGAAATTAGTAAATAAATAAATGGATTATTAAAGTTTGAAAATGTTCTATTTTTACATATTTATGTACGTTTAAATATAGATGGACTGATAGATAGATAAAACATTGTCTAAATTATATAAATTACAGAGAATACACATTTTAAAAGAAAGAAGAAACATATTTTTAGCAATACAAGCTGCCTCACCTGTTGCTGATATAGCATAACGCAATGAGGTGCACCTGTTCAGACTGGAAAGTTGGCTATAAATGAGAGTAAGCTCAGATGACGTCTGATAAGGATCAGTGGAAGATGACATACTGCGCCGATCCCAATCAATGGGATAAGGATATAAGTTTGTAACATTCATAATCAAATTTAGTATGACACTTGTAACTTCAGTTATTACAAAATAAATACAAATCGTTAAAAATTTTGTTTACATTCAACTTTTATAATTTCAATTATATTTACGTTGGTTTTGAACTCTTTATTTGGTTATTTTTTAATTCCTTATGTTACTGTGTCCTAATACATTTGATTATGTTATTAAATATTTATTTCCTACACGATACATTGAAATTTCCAGTCGGAAACTATCAAAACTGCTTTTATATAGAGAATACGATCTCGGTGCTCTAGCATACCGCTTTACGTTCGATGTTCGCGGGTTCGATTACTCGCACGGTACAAATATTTGTATTTATGAGTATGATTGTTTGTATCGGTCTGAGTTTTTCCTGTGTATAATATATGTATGTTTACATATACATTATATATATATATACATTATATTAGAAGATGTGTCATTGCTAAAACAGTTAATTCGTACCTACAGGCAGAAAAAGAAGAGGCAAAATAAAAGTGACGGTTACCTTGTTCATATCGGTTAAACGGTCTTTGTCACAAACACACATAAATTTTAATAACTCAAAGAAAGAAGTGTAACATAGTGTACATATTATATATTGTTGCACCGATAGGTGTGGCATATTCTTCGGAATAAACCTCTATATTTTTTAAGAAAAAAAAATAAAACTGTTTTTGACCTCCGTAACACAATTACAACGTGTCGAAATGTCTTTTTGTATATTCAATATTTGACTGATACGGCTTTTATTTTATTTATTCTTTAGTGCACAATATAAGTTATATTGTGCACTAAAGAATAAATAAAATACAAAGCAAAGTACAAAGGCGAGCTTAATGCCGTATGGGATTCTCCATCAGCTAACCTTTAGGTATACAGACAGCGATGTGAGTATGACGAAAAACGATCACAAAGTACATCTACAGTATGACCGTTATATGTGTTATCTTTCAACTTACAGCAGAATACATCCATATAGCCGGGAGAAGGTCTAAGTTGGTGATATACAATGAATACACATTTTCAAAAAGAGCGCCCCTCCGCAATGGAATACGGTACGCGTGTTCTTGTGCCCTTAGCAAACGCTGCAAGGCGTATGTTCATGTATCACAGGATGATATAGTCATTAAAGCCTATACTGACCACAATCATGAACCTATCAAATATGCTAAGACACCAAACGGTTATTATGTTAAAATTTAATAATGAATTTTAATTGACCGGTTCCTTACGTTGATAATAGTAAGCAGTGGTCTTCCAATATCTCAAAAAGTCAGGACCCTTGAAACAGTGTGAAAATATCGAAACCTTCTAAGTTTTTTGATATTTAATAATAAATACAGTAATTGTAAGGTTAAAATTTTTATTTAAGGTTAATATTTTAAGATTCCGTTACTCTATTACCGTGCACTTCCAGCGCGTCACAAAATAATTGTAAAAACACTCTATGTGCATGTGCTTTATATTTTGTGATACCGCAATAAATAAGTAAAGACTACTAAATACACCATTTTTTCCTGTCTGAGGTGCTAGAATACGTATACTCCAATTTTATAAGCTCTTTTTACGAAATGAATGATTTCAAATTAAGCCCCTTTTCAGCTCATCAAACTGACCTATTAAAATGGTATGCTTTTCTGAGATAATATATAGCGTATGTCCACGTAATACAATCCATTTTTAGTTTAATTTCTTTAAGATCCGTTAAGACGTTTTGTCGTGGAAATATATGAATAGATAGACATACTTTTGCATTTATGACAATAGTACCTATAGATGTATGCCATAATTATTCTTCTTATCATATTCGAACAATATAAAAAGTTATTGTCATTTTTTTGTTTCTTCATGTCGTTGTTGTTGCAATCACTGTTTTATGATTAAACATGAACAGCGTCGTTATAAAAAAGTTTGTGTTTTTTGTTATTGTCTATGAATATATCTATTTCAATAAAAGTTATGTTCATTCTATTCTGTTTTATTTTATTCATCCAGTATACCTTTAATGTTCCATTTTACCCATGTTCCATAACAATGCCATTTCTGTTTTTGTTATTGGTTGTTGTGTCATAGTTTTATTTATTAAACTTCCAGCACATTATATAGAGATAGCGGGCAGAGGATCGAAGTTACTTATGTACGAAGAATACACGTATTTCAGAAGTGGTCGCGTGCGGGACGGAGGCTCACGATTCACATGCTCAGGTTATGGCAGTAAAGGTTGCAAGGCTCATATTCATATTTCGAAAAGTAACGTCATCATCAAAGCTTCCACTGAACACAATCATCCGCCACCTACATATGCGAAAACACAGACGGGATATGTTAAATTATAATAATTCATAATACAAACATATGAAATTCGAAATTCAAAAATAATATTTCATATCTGAATAAATAAATTACTAATATCATGCTTTTATTATTAAAATTTATGTAAATTTATTTTCTGTTCTTAATTTAAAAGAACGCATTCAAACAATATTTCAGAAAAAGTGATTTCTGAGAAATATTAAGTCTTAAATATTTCTCAGAAATCAAATTTTCTATTTGTTTTTTTCTTACTTTAAGTTGCTCATTTTGTTCGTTTTTAATTTAAAAATACATTCGAAATACTAAATAAATACTGTAGTAGTAACTGAATTAAGGTTATTATTGACGGCCTCGGTGGTCTAGCGGCATAGGACACCGCTTTTCCTCCGATGGTGGCGGGTTCGATTCTTCGCACGGTACAAACATTTTTATTCATGAGTATATATGATTGTTTGTATCGGTCTGGATGTTTTCTATGAATATTATGTATGTATTTACAAAAAAAAGATGTATTTCTATTAGTTGTCTAGTACCCATAACACAAGCTCTGCTTACCGTAGGACTAGATAGAGTTGTGTTTATTGTCCAGGGTTATTTATTAATTTAATAATGTAACCTACATCAGCTAATGACCCATTAATACAGATGTCAGTTTTAAGAACAGACGTGTATATGCAAGACGAGTTATGAATGACGCAAGAGTGTGAAAGAATAAAAGGCGAATACATTCGGTTTCTTTCCTACTATATAATGAACCTGAAATTAAATTGTAGATGATGTTTTCGTCTAAATCTAAAATAAAATTAAAATCAAAATTTTATCATCATTGGACATTATTTTCATGATTACACGCCCTTATCACGTTATCATCATAAATGGTAGAGCGTGATATGGATTTTATATATACATATATGTTTTTTATTTCCATCTGTACTTTAAAAGGGAATAAAATATCCATATTAGTAATGTATTTAAATATTTGCTCCGCTCGCATAAACTGAAAGAAAAATCGAGTTACGAAGGCATGAATTGCATTTCTAAGAACTAAAGATTTAGTTCTGAGGAATGTCAACGCATGAGTCGTACCACAGGCACAAGAATTGAGGCCGGTGGTGCTGTTCATGTTCAACTGAAGGTTGCCACTTTTCACAAAGTGGCCCTTCGACTTTGTTTCCATAGATAAAATACAGCAATACTAAAACTAAACTTTCATCTTCAGCTGCCTACGTGAGGAGCGCTAAAGGATCAATATTGCTGTTGCTTCACAATTATACCTACAGCAAGAACGGGTTCATCCGCGATGGAGGTCTAAGATACGCGTGCTCGCAAATGGCAAAACACTGTAAAGCGTACGTCCACGTGTCGAAGCTTAATCAGATCGTGAAAGCTGATTTAGTGCATAATCACGAACCTCCCAGCTATTTGTTGACAAAAGAAGGATATTATGTCCGTACATCATAATTTTGTTTGTATTTAATTTTACTATAGATACCGGCAAATCATTTGAACACAATTTGATTCTATGATAGCGTAGTGGTTTAGAAATAGAAATATTATTTATTCACATAAAGAGAGAGCAGATTCATCACAAGAAGAACGAGCCAGAAAATTGTGTGTTGCGCTTTTGAATAGACATATTTTTATATAAATAATTATACAATAACAATAAGGAGGCATATGATAATCAACACAGAAAACACTACGCACTCATTTTTAGGGTAATCAGATAATTAGATCAGATTAAATATAAAATAAATCAGATTTACTATTCCGATTTATACCCAAAAGGTCATGAGTTCAAATCTGTCAATATTATTTCTGAATTTCTCTCCGGAGAAACATTGAAAACTTAACCAAAAGTTAACTAGTGAGACGGTTGTTGACTAGCCTGTCACGTTGAATTCAAATGTACCCAGTGAAATGTGGGCATGTAAAAGTTACGTTCAACATGATATACAGATCTTGTATTGTTATAGTCTTTACGACATATTTTATATTTATACGATTTTAGTTACCTCAATGTTTATACAACACCGTTGCAACACTATTCTTTTAATGTCTTTGAAATATGAGACAATTTTAATTTATAAACATAATCAAATCACTAGCATTTATCAATTTTAAACGCAAAATCATCTACACTATCTGCACGTGCTTCATAGTCTGGTTTTGTTCAAGTTTTTTGCCGAGAAGCATATACTTAATTTAAGATTTTGTTTCAAAAGAAGACTTCAATCGTGACGACATTAACATGGTTCCAACATTTCATCAATATTGGTCCAGGATTGTTAAAGATATCTATGCAATATGTATACAAAAATAAATATTGAAAAACTTTTTGAAGTAGGTTGATCAATGAGCCATAATGATTTTTATGTTATCAATTACAATAAGGCATGTGTAAGTAATTTACGCAGTTATATTTATTAGATAAATATAGAATGGGAACATAGGTGACGTAGAGTCGGTTTATGCATCACAATATATACATAATAATGTAATTAGAATCTCGCTAAAACTCGCCAAGACTTGACCAGTCTCGCCAATTTCTGCTGCCAAGTTAGTTACAAAGTAAGCTGCTTGCTTTGTAACATGAGTTTCAGCTATAAGGTTGAGATAAGGCAGTAAAATTACAAGATAAGAGGCATCACATGGGATTGAATGAGCATCCTTGTGTGTAGCCAACTATTACCATTTACCATCAGGTGGACCATCAGTTTGTTTGCCATTCCTATTACATTAAAAAGAGTTTTAGTATTTCGACATATAACTGATATGTAGCGATATAAATGTTCGACTTTATATATACACATTAATTTTATATAAATACAATTAATATTACATATTTTTCATTTATGAGTAGAATGTTATAATAACATATGATAATATGTCGGTTTTTCGACTGTTAGCAGTATATATATAGTTGTAAGGCGTGTCCGCTGCGTTCTTTGTTCTCGGGTTCCTTATTTTTTTATAAATTAAGAATGTGGTCTGCTTGTTGATGTCCCAATACCCCAATACAAATGGGTTCTGTGGGAAGAATATACGTGTAATTTTCTTTATTTAACATGCTATATGAAATTGTGATACATTCAAAAGATAATAGTTTTTATTATTTTATTTAAACCGTACAGTAGTTTTAATATTGGACTGTAAATTGGATTGTTTATTGATGAGGTAGCTAATTAAAAAAAAAATATATATATATTTCTAGTAGCTCAGTACTAATTATTTATATGTTACATATTATATACATATACTTGTGCCTATTTTTACGAAAATCGCGAGGACGAGTATTATGTATGAAATTTTAAATGTGGAAGGTGTGACGAATATATTTTATAGTAGATAATGTTTAAAAATACATTAAGTCAATAAAAATAAACATTATAACCACTGACACACACACACAAACACATACACTACATAAATTTAGCCTTTCACATTAAAATTTTAATAAAGTTCAAACTTCAAATTTAATTTAATTATTATTTTAAACTAATATTATTTAAATTAAGTACTTTATACAGTGGGTGTTGACTAATTATTTTTCTTACCTTTATATGCAGCGGTCTCGCCTCAAATCAAGACAGCTTTTTAATACTTTTAATAAATACTAAATTAGTCGTTTAAGTTTTAATAAACTTATTGGCTTATTTGTAATTGTATTGTAATACAGTTAAAATTCTAATAAACTCACTGACAGAAGTAATGTGTTTTTCTGACTGGTTTTTTTCTCTTGTGTATTGACTAAGCTCGCAAGTCGTTTATAAAAATTTTAATATATCGTTAGACCTGCTCAATTTCGTCTTGAGTCACACTTTTCCTGGTTTGGAAACATTTTCCATTGCAGTTCCACTCCTATTGGTCGCAGCGACAAGAAGGCTATATGACATATAACATCGGTTATATGTCATATTAGCCTTCTTAGATGCTCATTTATCTAAAAAGGCTATATATCCAATATCCTGTATATAATATTAATATATTTTATATTTATATTATACTCATATATGATTCAAATAAACGAGGATTACCGTACATACCATTTGTCTACCATGAACACCACTAACTTTATAAATACCTCTATTTTTATAGGTATGACATTATATATTCATCTACATATATATACATACCAATAGAAATTTTAATTTCATACTTTGGCTGTAACAAAAAAAGGTTTGTATTGTTTATCCAATTAGGTGCTATTTTGCGGAAGTCCATTCCACTACTTAATGGATATTATTCTGTTTAATTTGCGGTGATCAGTGCGGAAACTTGACTACCAACAGTGAATACAACCAAGACTCCACAAACACTACGAAATAATATTACGCCGACACGAATAGCGTCGGAGCATCCCCAATCCCCATTCATCACTTCCTTAGAGTGGAAAATTTCTACAACCAACATCAATAGAAAGTAGAGGCTGTATATATCAAACAGGCAGATATACAGTAATAAAGAAATAAGAAAGAAAACAAACAAAAAAAATCATATAATATAAATTGCGAGAAGCCATAATTCATATTTTCGCGGAGCAAGAAAACCGAGAAAAAAGAATGGACATAAAACTAAGATGCAAAAAAGGGTATGGACCTTCAGTCTAGGGAAAATAAGGGTGTAATTTAATAAAAAAAAGTAGAGACAGTAAAAAGAATATGTGAACAGGTTAATTGCTAACGTGTGTATAGAAATTTCAGCCCTGATACCCTTCATATAAATGCTATATTTTTTTAACACAACTATAGTATTTTCATTAAAGATCTCATTATTATATTTCCAGAGTATTATACGAAAACACTGGACGGTAGGTTAATACTTCTAATGGACGATCATGTATATAGTAAAAATGGCCGGATAAGAAACCAAGGTTTGAGATATGCGTGCAAGAGTCGCATGTCCCGTGGATGCCCAGCCTACGTTCATGTGTCACGTGACCATAAAATCCTGAAGAGGCATACCCAACATACACACAAACCCTCACCATATCTTATCACTCGAGAAGGTTATTATATTAAAGCTTAGACCAGAGTTTCCCAACCTTTTTATTGCCTTGTCCTCCCCCCCCCTTTAATTCTCCTAAAACTACCCCTCCATATCCTATAAATTATGTATGTTACATAGGTAACATACATAATTTATAACATTAAAAAAATTAATTGATCACTTAAGGAACTTAAATGGTTAATAAAGGTTTTAGCAAGAAATCATTAGGATATTGTTAATAACACAATGAGTAAATTTTCAAAACATAATTCACATTCCATATAATTTTAATAAAGAGTCCATTTTCGAATTTCGTGGGCCCCTTGTTGGGAAACACTGGCTTAGACTATGTAACACAATCTTTATGCTATCAATTTAAAGTGCCGACTCAAATTGAGAATTATATCAGATTAACGAAAAACTACAAGACGGAATACTATCTATTATATGTACTTTCAAAGTCATTGTTTTGTATATAAGTAAAGTAAGCATTAAAGACTATTACATTCTTATTAAGAATTTCTCAATATGAAATACAGTGTTCATCTTGGGTTGATTTGGGACTAGATGTCGCTGTAGGTTTTGCTCAGTATTGTTTATATTTGTAAGAAAACTTGAAATCATTTATAATTACAACTCTATACATGCAACGTCATATGCGTATGTTTTGTTAAATATAATAAAATAAATTAAATCAAAATAATGATTATTTATTTCTTACCTCAAACATTAAAATACTCTATTAAGTACATACACCAACCATCAGCCTGACCTGACATGACCTATACGAACACAAACGGTAGATCTAGTAAATTTATTAATTAATTGACTATTTTTTAATTATTTTAGTAGAATTAATAAAATCTATTTACTATGTTTTGACCGTAAGTGTCTTGTAAATATCTACGGCAACGAAGTTGATAAACGACTAGACCAATAAGATAATATTTTTTTATTGTAAGATTTATATGATCTAGATAATTTATTTAGGTTTTTGTTTTATCCGTACTCAAATATACAGAATATATCTATTCATTTTTAATAATATATTTACATGCTAATCACAAATAGTAATTTATTATCACAAATAGTAACTTATTCTCTATGGTATTGACCGTCTATGGTTGACTATTAAAAATGCCGCATGTTGTTAAGTCCGCCAAATATACTTTTAGCTTTGTATTGTGTTCATTAAAGTTAAATTAATTAAAATAATAAATATAATTCATCGTGTTATTACCTGAGATTATTTTTATATGTTTAATGTTTTTATAAAATTGTGATCTTTTCAGATATTAAATTCATTGAAGCAAGATCTGGTACGAGGTTACTAATGCTTAATGGATATACTTACCACAAGGTCTTAGAAAACAAAGCCTCCCAAATGGAAAGGTGGAGATGTTCGAGTAAAAAGAAGGGTTGTACCGCATTCATTGTGATACGTAGTCATGATGAGACGGTGGTCAAATGCGCTGAAGAACACAATCATTTACCACCAGTATACTATTGTAAAGATGGCACTTATATTAAAGTTTAAGGTATTAGTATTATATGTTAATACCATAAAATG